CTGACTGAACAGATAGAAACAATAAAAACAAAAATGTGCAAGATAAAAACGCTTATTAATAATATCATAAAAGTGAAAGATATGAAGCACGGGAGAGGGAGGATAAAATTTGCCACCTTAACAATGAAGCAAGTTTCCAGTTGCCTGGAAGCCCCAGAACTGACAAAGTAGCCAAGACGAAGGGATTTTTGGAAGATGAAAAGAGATAGAATTAGTCTGATTTCTGAGGTAAGAATGTTCCATAAAGTGGGTGCTGCAGCAGAAAAGGCACATCTCCTGGTACCCACCAAATGAAGGTTCTTAGCTAATGGTACCCACAACATGCCACTCTTCCAGATCTAATGGGGCAGGCTGATGTAATCAGATAAAGGGTGTCTCTCAGATAAGCTGGTCTGCCTTGATTCTTCACATTGTTACTTCAGTGTAAATAGTGATCTACTTTCTTTTGACTTAGGTGCTTGACAAAGAAAAGCAACTACTGGCTTTCAATAGTACTGCTAAATTATTTGCACGTTGTCTCCAGCAATGAAATTACTTCTTATTTTATAGTTTACATTTACTGTATTCTCCAAAGTACTGAAGTATATCATACATAGAATAGCAGAATGCACACACAATTAAAAATAGATCTTTGTTTTACCTTGATGAGACTGAATATTATTAATAGAATGACTGGTAGAAACAAAAAAATAATAATTAAAGGATGAGAATCATTCTCCTAGAAAACCCATATCCTGCAATATTAATTCAGAATGAAGGAGTATCCACTTTCTTTCAGAGCAAGATTCAGTCTGAATACCGAACACTGCATTGCAAATTGGCAATATTCTTTCCCTTCCTATCCCACTGCTATATTTCCTGGCTGCCTGAAGCTTATGAATACCTCTCACCATAAGTATTATTTGAGAAATATAAATCCAGTTATTTTCCCTCCAAAGAAAAGAATGAAAGCATCTTACAAATACCACAAGCAGCCAAGTTACTAATTGTTAAAATGGAACAAGATAAAACAGCAGCAAAACCAAAAACTCAAAGAACCAAAATAAACCCTCAAATCAAATCAAGAAACAGCACATGCTAGCAGTTTTCATACTTATCCGTAAGGTAATTCCCTGCTGTTCCTCTACCACCAAGAGATAAACTGATGGGGAGCTTGCATTTGGGAACTTTTCCACAAATCTGTTTTGGCAATTAATGGCAACAACAGTCATCCACTAAACAAGAAGAGGAATATAATTATTGCCCAATTACTTTTGACTCTTTCAGAAAAAAGTCACAAGATACAAGCACATTTTCTGTCCTTTATATATCCGTACTTATATCCTCACACAGTTCCTAATTTATCCTATTTACAAACTAGTAGGAATACATATAAACATTTATGCATGCATGCATGCACACAAACAAACCAACAAACACATAAACCCAGAGTATCGCTGTGTCCTGATGAAATATGAATTGTTTACAAAATGAAGGCATGTATTTCCTTTCAAACGATTTGCAGGACTTCTGCCTCATCCTAAATCTTTTAAAGAGAGTCTGATTTGTCTCAGCATTCCATTCAAATAGGATAGATGTATTTTATTGTATGAAAGCACGCTATTCTATTGGGATTTCCGTTTATCGACTGTCACTATCTGTTATTATTCTCTTTTTAATTAAAAAATAATAATTTCAGTTTTGTGTGTGCATGCAGGGATATAAAAGTCCCTAGAGACCATTATACAACATGGCCCAGACAGAAAAGTTTATCTAATTTATCTACAGCCACTGAAAAGCTAATTATCCCTGCCCCCCCAAAATAATGACCATTAGACAATTAAGTTTTTTTTATATTAAGGTTTTTTACATGCTTAATCTACAGCTTTGAAGGTATAGAAAGTCTTCAACAGAAAACAAAAGCATAAATAATTTCAAACAACATTGAGTTTTTACTAGTGCAATAACAGAGGGTGCTTTTTCATAGATTGCTGTTTTTTCATATATAATAAGTTAATTTATAACTGCTGGTTTATATTTCTAAAGCCCAATATGGCATAGTTTCTATGTACATTCAAGATTGCCTCCTATAACTCAAATTCACTGGTCCTGTATTCTTTTCTGGAGGAGTTGTGTTTCATTCCCAGCTCATATGAGTTAAGAGGATTGTGCCTAGAGATTGCCCTTCTTGGTAATGTTTCCCAATCATATGGAATATCTTACTCCATAAGGTTTCTTTGACTCCCAACTTGCTGGCTTTTCACAAGGATATAAAAACTATTTTGTTCTGAAGAACATTTGAACATTAGTGGAAGTTTGGGCCAGTGGTGAAATCCAAATCTTTTTACTACTGGTTCTGTGGGCGTGGCTTGGTGGGTGTGGTGTGGTGTGGTGTGGCTTGGTGGGCGTGGCAAGGGAAGGATACTGCAAAATCTCCATTCCCACCCCATTATAGGGGAAGGATATTGCAAATTTCCCATTCCCTCCCACTCCTGGGGGAAGGATATTGCAAAATCTCCATCCCCACCCCACTCTGGGGCCAGCTAGAGGTGGCATTTGCCAGTTCTCCAAACTACTCCAAATTTCCGCTACCAGTCTCCAACCTACTCAAAATTTCTACTACTGATTCTCCAGAACCTGGCAGAATCTGCTGGATTTCACCCCTGGTTTGGGCTCTTTTGTTTTGCATTTTTTACTTCTATTAAATGTTTTAATTTATGGATATATATATATTTTTGGATTAATGGTATCTTCTACTATTTTCCTTTTCTTTTTGAGTTCTGCTTTTATAGCTTTTAATGTTTAAGTTATTTATAATGGTTTTAGTTAACAATGTTTTATATATTGGAGTGTACACCATCTAGAATTGTTCCATGAGATACAGCCATATCAATTTGATTAATAAATTAATGGTTACATTGTTCTAATCCTACCAACTACTTATAACTAATAAAACTAGTCTCTTAGTCTCGTTAAATAGATTTATTTGAAGGAAATTAGACTTATCTTACAGTGTCTTGGAAACTGACTATATATGTGTCAGTCACCTTCTGTTGAGTAGATTAAGATGGGCCTCTTTGATCCCATTAATTCTCTTCATACAGAAGATATGCCTGTCAAGGAAGGAAGGAAGGAAGGAAGGAAGGAAGGAAGGAAGGAAGGAAGGAAGGAAGGAAGGAAGGAAGGAAGGAAGGAAGGAAGGAATCCAATGTATTTCTTTATCACAGGATTTCTCTCAGACAAAATCTGTCATTATCATCATCACAACAAATATACACAATCTTTTCATACTGAAATAGACAAATGCTGACAAGAAGAAAGACCTTATAAACTATGGAAAAACACACACAATGCTTCATACCTAACTATAACCATCAAGCAATAACTTATTTGTCTCATCAATAACTAGCATCTAAAATCCTGAGATGCCATGTTTGTATGGACGTCTATAAGAAGGCAGAACTATTATCTGTTGTGTAACATAATTTGGCATAAACTACTATATGATCCAACAATTACTTGTATTGTACATATGTGTGTATGTGTGGGTGTATACATACTCGCATGCATAGACACACACACCCAAACACCCAAACATATACATACCTTTCTTCCTCTACTTCCTGCTGGATAACAGCAAATAGGAACTCAGTAGGTACATATGCACAAGCATCCAATGTATATAAGGTTATGGCATTGGAGAATCTATCACAAGCGGAACATAATTTTGCTAGCATAAAAAAGAAAGGACCAAGATCCATAATCTTTTGGCTATTTTATGCTTTTACACAGTTCAGGCTAATTTCCTGCTGAAACAATTCCCTTGAAGGTACAGCACGTGGATGGTTTGTAAAGTCTTTCATGTGATGAAAGGGAAGGGAGGAGGAAGCAGGGTGGAATGGGAGTCTCCTGCTGAGATAGTGTGATGAATTATTAAAACTTCTTAATGTTGATGTTACTCTTTAACCTCAGATCACAATACTGACAGAAGAGGAAAATGGAAAGTGCTATTAAATCAGAAATCAACTTAGGAGAAACATAAGTCATGGGGTGCATCCAATCAACAATATAAGGAAACAATTACAGAGAGAACAGTTCTGAAGTAAAAAAAAAATGCTGTCAAACATTTAACCCAAGCACATTTTCCAAAGTATTAATATTATAGAATTAACATTCACAGCCATACTTCACTATCACTTGTTTCTATTTCCAACATGCTTCTCCATAACTATCTTCCTTTTGAAAAGCAAATTAGAATTTAAGTAAAAGGTTATATTTGGTGAAATCTACAGAGCTTGTGTATCATAAGTACTCTTCCAAGTTTATAGCAAGGAAGAAAAACAGTTCTCATAAGCAGTAAGTATCTTTCTGTTAGCACAGCAAAAAGAAATTCAATGAAGTTAATGCAATTTATCTTTATTAACACATCAACATTGATACAGTCCATCAGCCTGTCAGTAATGCTGGTGCTGCATTTCTTTTAAGAGTCATATTCTCAAAAATATCTGTCTAATAATTTCATAATATGTACTAATAATGTTATCTGTTGAGCAGGCTGAAGTGCTCTCTCTTTTCCTTGGAACAAAACAGGTCAGCCTCAGGAAGTGACAGTGCCCTCAAAGACAACACAACTACATCTATATCCTTTCGCATGATCTTTTAGCTTCTCCATTCTGAAATGAGCAGTCAGTACTATCAAAATCTTTAGCACATTAACTTCAAATCACCTGTTCATATTGTGTGTGTGTGTTTGTGTGTGTGTATAAATGTTCCATATATATATGGAACCTTCCAATGACTCTCACGTATGTTTGTTATTATTTAAATTCATTCATTTCGAATTTCCATTTAAAAACCAAAGCTTTACACATTAAAACATGCAGGCAATTCAGTTCTACTTAATTATTTTGAAGTAAAGAAGGAAATGAAAACCTTTAAAAAAGGTATTTATTATTACTGTGGCAGAAAATGCCATTCAAGATTTCCAACAGATAACCCTTATGAAACTTTTTATCACTTACCCCCCTTCCAGTGCTTGCCTTTGGTCCTGCTTAGCTTGGTAAGAGTTGATTCGGAGAAGAGCAACATCAAAATAAAAAGAAGTTCAAGCACTGTATTTTCCCTCTGTCTTTCTGATGATAGCATTTCCACAAGTTATTTTCCACAATTTTCCCCCCTTACATTTTCCCCCTTATTTTCTCCATTTTCCATTTGGTTGGAAAAGAATTGCTAATCAGGTGAAAAGCAGCAGAAGGAAAGGCTTTGCCATTCTGAGGTAACATCTAGTGATGTAGCCCTGAGGAATGCCACGTTTTCCTCTGATCCAGCATCTCCCATCCACAACGTGCAGGCAGCACTGCTGCTTCTAGAAGAGCTGTAAAAGAATTTCTTGCTTCTCACTTTGGCTTCGGCGAAAATAGATTCCTCAGCTTTCACTGTGAGTGTGATTGAGAATGATAAAAACATTAATGCCAATGTCCAGTAGAAAAGAGAAAAGATGTCATGATTGTGGAGGGTGAAAGACACAGAGAGAGAAGGGATAAAGAACAGATGAGAAGCAGTTGCATTGACAGCTTTAAGCCTCACTGTCTGATCCTAATAGCCGTGCAACCAACCAAATTGCTCTTTTAAGGGTAATAAGGCTTCGGTGAAAGCTGGTGTCACTGCCACTTGGGTAGGTAAAAGCAGGCATGAAAATCATCAAGAAAAAGCTGCTCAAGATAAAAAACTAGCAGAGCTCCTATTCAGAATGCTGAGGACCGAGCAAAAGAATACAGTATGCACACAGTGTATTTAATCTCTATTGTGTGGAGGAAATTTCTTCCTTCAGACTGTAGTCTTAACTGCACGTAAGCAGTGCTTTACTTAATTTAGTGTGAGCCTTTAGAAGATTTAATATTTGCTACACTAGTTATTTTTACATCTATCTGAAATATTGATAAGATTGGAAAATACAAGCTGCTAGTTTTTTAAAAAGAGAAAATAAAGTGTGTGCAGGAACAAACACAACACATTTATACAGATATGCTCAGATAAACAGACAGGCAAAATCTAACTTGTTTTATAATAATATCAGTTTTGAGTTAGCTTCCTTTAAAAAATATTTTCTAGAATTTTCTAATTTGATGAAATACAACTATTTAAATATACAGATACATGTACAGATATATGTATATGTACATAAATACACACACACACACTGTATATCTTTAGGGCAAGCTATTCAAACTGGTGCCCTCAATGTACTGTATATTGGAACCGTAGGCTGTCTAAGATTTTGGGGAAATGCACAATGACTATGGAAAAAAAAAATTCTCGTTTCCTTCTTAACTAATTACTTTGTAGCTTATTCAGCTGCCTCATTCGTAGTTTGAAGTTTTCATATGTGCTTCTAAAATGAATTGGAAATAAATGTCTTCATAATCCCAAGCATGAAAGCAAAACTATGTAAACTCTTGTGGTTATTTGTTACCATATTACACCCAAGAATATTCTAGGGAAAACAAGAGACTACTCAGCAGTAAAATTACTAATTTGTACTTATAACTAAATTTAAGGTATTTCAATGATGACCTTCATAATGAAACACAATAACAACTTCTATTTAGATCTTTGCATAACAGCATAATTTATGCTGTTATGCAAACATCGAAATAGAAGTTGTTATTGTGTTTCATTATGAAGGTCATCATTGAAATATCTTAAATTTAGTTATAAGTACAAATTAGTAATTTTATTAATTCACTTGAATGCCACCGCTCATTAAACAAATATATGATGGAAACATGTGCCTACATGGCCTCAATATCTGCCATTGGAATTTACATTCTATATTTTCCCTTTACATTTCCATTACATTTGTAACTAGTGGAGACTATGGGTAATGAGTGTACTAGTGAAAATAATAGGATTATAAAATAATTTTACCATGGATTTTTCTGGGAATGCATTTAAGTTTTTCACTCTCAGTGAAAATTTACTGGATTAAATGCTAATGGAAATAGCCTTATCATTTGTCCTTTCAAAGAAAAAAAAAGTCTAAAAATGTATGGGTGCACAAAGATTTGCTTCAGGCTATTTACTGTATTTTTGCACTATAAGACACACTGGACCATAAGACGAACATTAGAGGAGGAAAACAAGAAAAAAAAAACCCTGCTTCTGCCTCCCAGCATCCATCCGGTATTCATTTGGCTAGCATCTTTGCAGCAAACAGCAAACAGCCTGGTCAGTTTCAGCACGTTATCACAGCCCCAGCACATGGCTTGTCAGAGCTCCGTTCCATTACACCCACCACCAGTCAACTGAGCTGAGCTTCTGCCGCTGCCAGGGAACACTGGAGCCTTCGCTGCTGAGCAGCTGATTGGCGGTTGGATGGGCCTCCTGGAATACCGATCAGCTGTTCTAGGTGGCAGGGATCGCCACTGCCGCCTAGCACTGCCGCTGCCATTTGCCATCACCACTGTTTGCCACTGGTGCTGTTCACCGTTTGCCACCATCATTCACTGCCACCGTTCACCACCATCATTCACTGCCTATCACTGTCACTGCCTAGAACAGCTGATCAGTGGAATTCCGGGAGGCCGATCCAACCACTGATCAGCTGCTCAGCAGCGAAGACTTGAGCATTCCCTGGGGGCAGCAAACGGTGGTGGTGAACCCCCTCCCCCCACTGCAATATTCGCTCTATAAGATGCAACAGACATTTTCACCCACTTTTTTGGGGGGGGGGAGTGTGTCTTATAGTGCGAAAAATACAGTACATTTTGTACAACTTTATAAAAAGACAATGTGACTATATAGCATTGCATGATCATGAGGTCCATTCAGTAAAGTACTTGCAATGTAGAAGGATGTAGAAATTGTGTAACCCTTTCTAACTGTTTATGCCATTTCAAAATAATGAAAGTCAAAATTAACAACAACTATAGTAGGATACCAGTTCACATAATTGCACATGAGACTTTCTCACTTGTCTATAAAGTTTGTGTTCAAGGCTTATATATTTGCAGTGAGGGTTTCTATATATAATAAATTTCTTTTTTACTTGACTAGGGTAGAATCTAAAACACAAATGTGGCTCAGACATACTGTGATGCTGTGAACCCTTTTGAATCTTTTGAATCTTCAATATTCCTGTCTAAATGTAACCTAAAACATGATCTGTTCTCCACACAAATTCTAAAACAGGATGGAGAATTGAACTGAATTAACAGAGAACTGAATTAAATAAATGAATCAAAAACATTATACTTGTTCTTATTATCCTTATCCTTTAGTTTTGGGGGAGGGGAGAGAATCAGGAAAAAACCTCTAGCTGTAAAAAAAAAAAAAAGTCCTCCGCCTGTATTTCTTCACATTAACCTTCTACTACATTAAGGAGTAGGCAATATTAATATAACTATCAATATTTTCAAATTTTCTTTGCAATCAGTTCAGATTTTCAGTCTGAATTTTTTTTTATTTACTTCCCAGAGGCTTGCTTTTCTTCTTTGATTTTGATTGATAAAAGTAGATATGGTGATGCTCCTACTATGGCACATTTTAGTAGAATGATAAGCCAGTTTATTTTTGAGATTACAATAGCAATAGCATTTAGCCTTACATACCGCTTCACAGTGCTTTACAGCCCTCTCTAAGTGGTTTACAGAGTCAGCATATTGCCCCCAACAATCTGGGTCCTCATTTTACCCACCTCAGGGTAAGGATGGAAGGCTGAGTCTACTTTGAGCTGGTGAGATTCGAACTGCCAAATTGCAGGCAGCCAGCAGTCAGCAGAAGTAACAGTACTGCATTCTAACCACTGTGTTACCATGACTAAGAATGTACTTAGTGTTGTGACTCCGACCCCCGAGCCCATCTTATTGGAGGGAGAAGACTCCAAAGGTGAAGGAGAGGAGTTGGCCAGGCCTCCCTCTCCAGGACCCTCCTCTCTGGCAATGCCTCAGGTGTCTCCCGAAGCAAAAGAGATTGGCCAGGAGCCAGGTATCTCTGAGCAGTCGCAGTTGGACAATGACAGAGATAAGTCTTGGCTGGATCCACGCCAGCATCGGAGAGACAAGCGCACGCAGCAGAAAAGGAGGCGTGCCAGAGATTAAGCTGAGTCACTGGACCATACCCCACAGGGGATAAAAGGGGGTGTGGTGGCCATTAAGGCTCTGTGACGGACAAAACTAAACAACTAGCGAGTCGCATTGTATCTCTGAAACTACGTTATCTGCCTGCTTTGGATTTAATACGGACTGGACTTGACAATTCTTTGACTTTGTGTATTTGTTTTGGTTTATCTCACACCTCCCTCTGTGAGTAAAGTTCTTGGCAAGCAGCTACTGGTTTCCTGCCAATCCTGTTATCGAAGGAATTTATTGTCTGCAAGTTTTAACCCCTCGCTGACTGTTTGTGTGCGTGTGTGAGACGGGGACAGAACACTTAGTCTGCTTGTACTTTTAAAAAATTACATCAAAAAGCTATTATTATAAAATAATATTTTACAAAAAAATATTGCTTTTGTGTCTTGCATGCAAAATATGCAAACTTTAGTTTCCTTAACAGTGCTTCTAGTGTCCAGTAGAACTTTAGTTCATCTAGTATTAAAATATTTGTTATGCTTGTGATTCAGGTTATTCTCAAAAATTTTAATCTGCAGCACAATTCATTTTTTTTTTCATTTAGCTTGTCTGATGGTCTAGCCATATATTATAACTGAGAAAAATACAGTCTTGGCAATACATACTTTTGTTGTCACTGTGATGAGTATGCATTTTAATATTTCATACAGATCTGTCATAGTCTTTTTCTCAAGCTGTGAACATCTATTTTTACAGCTATTATCACCACTTCTGTAAATTTTTGATTCTAGGAAGATTGCAACTTCTACTTCAACACCACCTATTTCGATTGGGTTGACATTACCTGTTGACATAAGTTTAGTTGCTGTTTCTTTTCTTTTCTTTTTAATACAGAGCAGCATATTAGATTTTTGCATTCTTCTTTCAGCTTTAACAAGAGAGTCTTTAAGTCTTTCTAACCAACAGCCATTAAAATAACATTACTACAGTTGAGAATGTGGGTGTTTCTAATTTTAATTTTTATTCCTTCTCATCTAGACTTTCTCATAGTATATTCTGCATGTACAATCTATCTACCATCTATTTAATAATGGACATCTATGGGTATTTCCTTGCCTTTTCCATTATCAATCAGAAGTTAGCAATATGATGTTTCTGTCTCTTGTAAATCTAATTTGTACATCTGATAGTTCTTGTTTATTTATTTATTTATTATTTGTATTTCTATGCTGCCCAACTCTCCAAGGACTCTGGGCAGTTTACAACAAAGACAATATAAACAATATACAATAAGAGACGTTAAAAAAACCCCATACACACCGCTCATGGCTGGATCTCGCAAGATCGCAGTGGCGAGATCAACGGTCCCAAGCCTTCTGGAAAAGCCAGGTTTTCACCATTTTCCGGAAGGCCAGTAGGGTGGGAGCGGTCTGAGCCTCAGGAGGTAGCTGATTCCAGAGAGCTGGGGCAGCCACAGAGAAGGCCCTCCCCTGTGGACCTGCCAGCCGACATTGTTTAGCTGATGGGACTTGGAGGAGGCAAA